AATTCTGAGAGCTTGGCTGTCGCTGCCTCCGAAAGCCAGGGCACTAGCAATTAAGTGGAAGCTGTAGTAAGCCTATGATGCTGAGCAAAAAGTCACGATACTGCACAACTACACAGGAAATGCCATACTTGCTTTGTCCGGATGTCCTGGAATAGCTGTGCAGCAATATCAGACGTCGCCTCCAATACCAAATGTCGCCCGGTTCGCGGGCACAGCGCTCTCCAAAGATGCTGGAAGAAGTCTCGTGGGCCGAACAGCTGAGCAGGACAGACAACGAATTTGCAGGCATTCTCGACACGTTTTCGTCTCGAAGCGTGCTCTCTGGTCCTCCGAATCAAGACTGAACGAATCGCAACGAGGACGTGGAGACAAGATTCCAAAAGCCGCCCTTGTCACCTCATGTCTTAGTCAATGCCTCACGGATAGCTGCCATTGTAAGCCGTGCCAAGACACGACTGCGATCAAGGCCTGCGGTACGGTACGAATTTGTTGGGCAGCGCATGCTGCTGCACATGGCTCGCCGGCCCCATATCAACAAGCTCCTCATCCATGGACTCGGGTCGAGTCTGTCAAGCTGGTATGTGACCACAGGCCTTCTGGTGTCGTGCCACACTTGTATGCCACCTGATTGTGAGCACTGGAGCTCACCCTCGTCTAGCGTTTGGCGGAGCATATTCGCTCGCTTCTAGCAGCTTGTATTATTACACAGCTTTTATGCGCCCGGAAGCTGGCACTTCGGCCAGCCAGGTCGGTGTTTTGTTGTCGTCATAGTAGCGGTAATGCCTGGCCAACACCGACATTCATTTAGCAGTACAGGTGAAGCTGCACGCACGGAGAGCAATTGACCGAGCTCCAGATGTTTGCCATGGACGGGGGCCCCAGGCGAGGCGCTCGAGCGCGAGCGTCACCAAGCACGCGCGGAGAATTGGTACGGGTGGTGACGGCGTTGTACAGCACTGTCATCGTCGTGGAGCGGTGGTATACGCACGAGACAGCACGTTGGCGAGTCGCAATGTCCGGGTGTGTCAGGTTTGTCGTGCGCCGCGCGCCCGCCGCCGGACACGACCTGCATATGCTCGTCCAGTGCCCACCCGAGCAAGCGTCGCATGCAGAAGCTGGTGGGCTGTCTGGAGCAATCAGCAGCAGCGCAGTGCAGGCGGTGAAGACAAGTGCGGCTCTACGCGCACGCCCGCCGAGTAGCTCGCGGAGGATGTCGCGATGATTCGGCAGACATGTCGTGCATGCTGAACTCCTGCAGCGACGTCTGCCACCTCTGCATATCGTGCGGCAGCGGTGGTAGAAAAATCTGCGTCGTTATTATTATTACTGCCCACCGTCGCCGCCGCTCGGAGTGCTCTCTGCTCTGCTCCCGTATCACAATCTTGCCAACGACCTGCCGCAGCGTGGGTGAAGCCTGTCGATCTCCCCAGCATGACGAGCCCGTCCTCGCCAGCCGCGCACCGCTGATTCGCTGCGACGCTCGCCAACGCGATTGGCTTCGATACACAGCGCGAGAAAAGGGCCTCCTGCACCCCTGGCACAGCGCTGCCATCCACACTTGCCCCAGACGAGTGATTTCACTGGCCTGTTTGCCCCATCCACACCTCTGGCACTGCCACACCACACCACACGACGCCTCCTGCTGCGAACTGGTCAGCATCTTCCCGGCCCTGCGACCTGCAATTTCTGCGACCCGCGAGCGCACTTTCCGGCTCGCATACTTGAGCGACCACCGCCGGTCGTGTTTGGAGCTCACGCGCGCAGCTCCAGCTAGCTGTGTCCCGCCCGGGATCTGGACAGTGGACGAGACATCTCCCTCTACGCAATCGAAACAAGAGTCGCCTCTCATGATCACCGCCCTGTTGCACGCGTTTCAGACCGGCTACTCCAATGGCACTTCAAGTCGCAACAATCGGCGAATTGCCCCAACGCGACATCCCGCCAGCCACCACTTCTCGATCGGATGAGAAACATGTGCTCCAGACGAAGATCAGGACACTGGTTGGATTCTGGGAACGACTGACCGGTGCGGTTGAATCTTCCAGTCATACGAGCTCGAAACAACAGCATATCGTAATAAAGGAGCTGTGGAAGCCAACGAAAACTGCTGCAGAGGAAGTGGGAGCACTGCCGAGATACGAAGAATGTTTGTACGATCTTCCACCCGATTACAGCGCGACAGATTCCTTCGCCTATGCACGATGTATGCAGGACACGGAAATTGCGACCAATGGCATAAAGACACGAACACAGAGGAACGGACCATGTCAGCTCCTTGGCCAGGCATTTGACGTCAAAGTCGACTTCAACTGCGAGCACGGCTTCCGTTCTCACGCTAAGAAGAAGAAGGCCGCTGCTAAGGCCGCTGCAAAGAGCAAGTGGGCTGACAGCGACAACGAGGAGAAAAAGGATGAGGTTCCCGCTGAAGGAGATGATAATAATGGGAGCGGAGGTGGAGGAGACGGGGCTGGAGGTGGGAGCGACCCGCCTGGTGGAGATGATGGCAATGGAGGCGGCGACGATGGCGATGAGTGGAACTTTGGAGGCAGTAAGAAAAGCAAGAAGGCCAAAGGCAAGAAGAATAAAACTGTGAGTGGACAATCAAATCACGGACATGTGTGGCCTGGGCTGATTTCGAGCACAGGAAGACGAAGAGGAGCAGGACAAGGCGGCCGAGGAAGACACTCCCGCTGCAGCAGATACTGCCACAACGCCCGCCGAGGCTGAACCTGTTGATGGTATTGACAAGTCCTCTGGAGTCACACGGTTCAGACGCTGACAACGCGCACAGATTGGGGCTCATTCGCGACAGTAGGCAAGAAAAAGAAGCCCAAGAAAAGCGCTTTCGCATGGGACGCCGTAGAAGAACCTGAAGCTCCAGTTGAGGTTGTCGCCGATCCACCTCCGCCACCAGCAGCAGCAGAAACGCCGGCCGTGGACGACTGGGGCTCCTTCGCGACAGTCGGTACGAATACCCACACAGACTACTTGATCCAGACTTTGCTAATGTACCGTAGGTAAGAAGAAAGGGAAATCCAAGAAGTCTGCCGCTATTGAGCCTGTGATTGGGCCCGAAGCGCCTCCCGAGCCTGCAGCATCAGCAGAACCAGTGCCTGCAGCTGAGGACGACTGGGCTACCTTTGGCAAAAAGGACAAGACGAAGAAGGCCAAGAGCAAGAGCAAGGTACGTTCAATGATCTGTGTTCCCCCATTCAAGTATTGCAGCATCTCGAGCTGTGGCGAATCATGAGCTTCTGACCCATTCCTGCACTCCATGCCACGGCCGCTCCGGGCCGCCGGGAACCTCCGCAATCTGACTTGCGGAGACGAGGCTGGAACGTTGCATGCCTATCGATAGCACTCACCCCTGATGTGATCCGGCTGCACCCAGCTCGAGCACATCCGCTCATGTCGACTATGGAATACTGATCGCATGCGCAGAACGAGCCTGCACCCGAAACGACCGCGACCGACAAGGGCGATATGAAATTCGACGAGATTAACCTCGATGACGACAAGGGAGCACCAAAACTCGACCTCGACTTCGGCCTAGGCAAGAAGGAGACGCCAGCAGAGGAGAAGAGCGCCAGTGCTTTTAGCTTCGGGGGATGGGGCGGTGGATGGGGATCGGGGGCTACATGGGGATTCGGCAGTTCATCGGGCAAAGCTGAAGCTGATCCAGTCCCTGAAGAACAACCAAAGATGGACACTGGCTGGGGCTTCACACCCACGTCAAAATCGAAGAGCAAGGATAGCAAGAAGTCGGCGAACGGGTTCGACTTCAGCTTCGACGAACCCGCTGGTGAAAATGCCGACCTCGGAGCCACGACAGTGCCAAATGAAGACAAGGCGGCAGACGAAGATCCTTGGTCGGGTTTCATGAGTGCTAAGGACAAGAAAAAATCAAAGAAAAAGGGCTTACTGGCGCCGGAAACAACACAAGAGCCTGTCGTACCTGAACCGCCTCCTGTCGAAGAGCCGGCTAAGGCTGAGGATGATCCGTGGTCGAGCTTCACCTCTGGCAAGAAGGATAAGAAGTCGAAACTCAAGAAGGGAGCGCTGCCAGAGCCCGAACCAGTCGTTGTCGTTCCAGAAACTGAACCGGAGCCTGAGCCACAGCCAGCGGCAGAGAAAGCTGCGGACGAGGATCCATGGGGTGGCAGCACATTCATGAGCGCTAAAGATAAGAAGAAAGCGAAGAAAAAGGGGTTGGTTGTTCCGGAAGCGCCGCCTGCGGCCGTCAAGGAGGACGACGACTTCGGGTGGGCTACGGGCAAAAAGTCCAAAGGCTCCACGTTCGACTGGTCCGAGGAACCCATAGTAGAGGTTCCACCGTCTCAAGAGGCTGCCACTACTGGAGGTGAAGATTGGTTCGGAGACGCTTGGAGCAGTAGCAAGAAAAGCAAGAAGCAGCTTGCCGCAGTCGTGCCTGAGCCACCGCCGGTCCCTGAGCTTCAACCGGAGGCAGTGGTTGAACCAACAGCAGCAGAGGATGACTGGGCGAATTCCTGGTCTACCGGAACGAAGAAAAAGTCGTCCAAGAAGTCCGACAAGAGTAAGGGTATCGTTGAAGTGGTAGACCCCAGCCCAGGAGCCTCAGTATTGCTTCCAGAGTCAGTACAAGAGAAATCCGCAGAAGATGACCCTTGGGGATCTACCTGGACTACCGGTAAGCTTGAAGTTATTCAGCGGTGCTGCGAGGAATGTGAGCTAATCTGTTTAAAGGCAAAAAGACGAAATCGAAGCTCAAGAAGGGTGCTGCTGCCGAGCCTCCCCCGCCGCCGCCCCCAGCTGCTTTGCCTGCGCCGCCTGGACTGGACGATATCGCTATGGACCATGGAAATGCCGGGGCCGACCTCCTCGACATGAACGAACCGCCTGCCGACGATCCCTGGAGTTTCACGCCCGCGACAAGCAAAAGTAAGAAGAAAAGCGCGAAGGACGCGCCCGCTCCGATTGTTGATGCTCCGCTCTCGAAATCAAAGTCGGAAGACTCGAAAACAAGATCCAAAACACCTGCGGATGACATCCTTGACATCGTGGAAGAAGCCGAGCTCGAGCCGCCCAAGGAAGACGCAAAGCCTAAGAAGGAAGACAAGGCGTCTTCTGGCTGGGGAATTTGGGGCGCCCCATCCAAGAAGGAGACTCCCAAAGAGAAGAAAGCGCGCGAGAAACGTGAGAAGGAGGAACGCGAGGCTGCCGAAGCTCAGCGGATCGCAGAGGAAGAGGCTGCCGCGGCAGCAGAAGCTCAACGCATTGCAGATGAGGCTGCCGCAGAGGAAGCAAAACGAATTGCTGAAGAGGAGGCGCAAGCAAAAGCTGCAGAGGCTGCCAAAGCGAAGCCAAAGGCCAAGGAGTCCACCAAGGAGCGCAAGGCACGCGAGAAGCGTGAGAAGGAGGAGCGCGAGGCTGCTGAGGCCGCTGAAGCCCAGCGTATCGCAGATGAAGACGCTGCGGCTGCTGCTGAGGCTGAAGCGCAACGAATTGCCGAAGAGGAAGCTGCCGCAGCTGCGCTCATCAATGAGCCAGAACCAACACCTGTTGAAGAGCCCCCCAAACCCAAATCCAAGGTCAAGGAGTCTTCGAAAGAGAAGAAAGCCCGTGAGAAGCGAGAGAAACAGGAGCGCGAGGCTGCTGAAGCAGAAGCCGAAGCTGCGGCTCAGAAATTGGCTGAGCAGGACGCTTTTGCCGCCGCGTTCGGCGACGAAGGAGAGAGTATGCTAGCGGATGAGCCTCCAGCCGAACCAAGTAAGGCAGATGGCTGGAGTTTCTGGGGTACATCGCTCAAATCGTCTAAGAAAGCCACACCCGCTGCCGAGATGAATAAGGATTTATGGGCCAATCAGGACACAGCAGTCGATGAATCCTCGAAGAAGCCAGGTTTCTCTTTGGACGTCGACGACTTCGCATCAGCAATGCCGCCTCCCAAGACAACAGAAAAGGCGTCTTCAAAGTCGAAAACTGTCAAGGGCAGCAGTATACGCGATCGTATTAGCGCTTTGGGTGCTGAAGCACTTCCCGCCGCCAAGGGATCCTCCAAGTCTAAACGGGACAGCTTCCCAGCCCCACCTGAACCACACTTTGACGAGGAACTCGAGGAACCCATTGTCGAGATTGTTCCAGAACCCGCGCCCGTCAAGAAATCGAAGAAGAGTGACAAGGCGGACAAGAAGTCGAAAGCGCTCAAGGATCCTTCACCACCGCCGCCGCCCTCGATCTCACCTGTCCCAGGCGGATTCCCGGTTGATGATTTACTGGACGATATCGTGCCGGAACCTGAGATACCAGCATCGCCGCCCAAAAAATCGAGCAAAGACAAGAAGGCATCTAGCAAGTCCGCTAAGGCATCGAAGAAGCAAGAGGAGCCTATCATTGTGCCGCCGCCACCCCCAGAGGCTGACTTTGACGAATTGCTGGTCGACGCAGAACTTCCAACTCCACCTCCCGAGGAGACACCGAGGGACAGGAAATCATCCAAAAAGGAACGCCCGAAGGTTGTGCGAGACGACAAATCCGCATCGTGGGGCTTCTGGGGCGCCACTCCTGTGAAGAAGAAGCCCTCTGAGCGGCCAGCAGGTCTATCGCGTTCCAAATCAGCACGCAAGACAACCGAAAGAGATCCTCTTGACAAGGACTCCAAGTCATCCGAGTCTGAAAAGCCTCAGAAGCAGTCCAAATCTCGACCGAGCACTTCTCGCGGTATGAGTTTCGGGGGTCTCTTCGGCACGCCACAGCCATCGCGTACAAAGTCGACCAGAGTTTCCTCGTCCGCGGCGAAACCCAGCTCGCGCCGTCATTCGACGGCTGTCGAGGACAGTGGTTTAGTCTCGCCGCCTCCAGAAATGTCAGCGAAGGCAGCGAAATTGACTGGAGTCAGTCGAAGTAAGTCGACTCGTGAGAAGAAGACGCGCATGATTCCTGATCCATATCCCATCGACTCAGACGACATGATAATGGTCGACGCGCCCGAGGATTCTGCCAAGGAGATCGATAACCACGGAGAGCGCAAGAAATCGAGTCGGTCGAAGCGGCACCATATGTCTGGCGGCTTAGGCGATAATGATGAGGAGATGGTTGACGCTCAACGGGGCCCCGAGGAAGCGCGACTCTTCTCGGGAACTGACGACGTGGATCGACCTGCTCCGCCTCGACGATCTTCCACTATGAAGAAAGCTGGTCTGATGGGTGGCATCCTCGGCGCGTTTGGTGCTGCTTCGCGTCCAGGCGCAGATCGTCGCCAGAGCAAGTACGATAGTGAAGACGCGGGCGGTTCGCGTCGGAAGCGGGACGCCATGTACGAGGAAGACGGGTCGAAGCGGTTGCGGCGGGAGGACAGGAAAGTGCATCGCTCCTCGCGCAAGGCCTCCGAAGGCGAAGGCTTGACAGACGCAGCCCCAGTCACGGACATGGAAGCAGATGACGCCAGAGATGCTCGAAGGCGCGAGCGCCGCGAACGACGCGCAAGGGAAGAAGCTGAAGAGGCGGAGAGAACTGCACGTCGTGAAGAGCGCCGACGCGCAAAGGCGAAGGAAGAAGAGGACCGCCAGCTCCGAGAGGATGAGGAGAGACGTGCCAGGAGGCGCGCCCGCCGTGCAGAAGAGGAGAAATTGGCTCGTGAAGAAGAGCAAGCGCGTGCAGAAAGGCACGAGCGCCGGCGCCAGCGGGCTGCAGAAGCGCCAGTCGGCAAAACCCCACGTCCTACGACAGATCGACGGCGTTCGTCGTACATGGACGCAGGCGAGGACGAAGAAGCTCGAAGGCTACGGCGCGAGGAACGCCGCATGCGCCGCAGTGTGGATGTTGGTGGAGGTGCATCGGGAAGGGATAAGGACAGACCTCGCACCTCGCGTCGTCCCTCTGAGTACCCCGAAGATCGCAATGGTGAGCCAACCTCTCCCCAGGGTGCTATTCCACCATCGCTTGCTCACGCGATCAAGACCGGCGGCGATAAGACATCATCCTGGGTTCATTCGGTGAACGACGATCCACCGCCACCTCCACCCATTGAGGGAACCATAATCGACGCACCTGTCCACTTCGCGGCGGACAATGCACCTGACGCTCTCGATGAGAACGAGACCACGGCTCGGGAGTTCCGGCATCGGCGAGAAAGGCGAAGGGATCGGGACGATGGCTATGGGTATGGGCAAGACGACGACTACCAGCGCAGACGCCACGATAGAAGTGAAGGAATCAAAAGCAGCAGTGGTGAAGGCTCTTCCGGTCGGAGGAGAAGTCAAGCCCCAGCATATGGAGACATGTATGGAGGCGGCATGAGAACCTTTGATGGCAGGCCATCGATGCCGCAAAGGAGTGATAGCAAGAGAGGGAGTTGGTTCAAAAAGATCGCAGGACTGTGATGATCCTGTGTGGCGAGGGAGATCTATCTCGGCCATTTGATGCTGCATGTGAGACGGCGTTTTACGATTTTGCATTAATTTTCGGCTATGATACCCTTCTGCATTTCGCTAGGTTGTACGATTGCATGAACTGGCTTCTGCAAGTATATATCAGCCCTCTACATGGTTGTATGATGATGAAAGTTAGACTTTATGCGACTTGACAGTATCTCCAGTACAGTGGCCATTCGGTATATCGCTCTGCACACGGTCGCTGCAAGGGTTGAGCAACCTTACGGTTTTGCTAGCCACGCAATCATCATCACTTTCCAGTAAAGACGTTAGGCAATATCTTGTGAAGAAAGTGTGCACAGAAGCATGAGGACATCAATAGCGATTTACATTACATTCTCATCCCGAGGGAGGAATATCTACCTTGTGCTTGCGTAACACTAGTGAGCCACCTCCGATTACAATGATGGCAATCGCTAACACGCCATTGAAGATAGCCATGAGAAAGAATGGCGCTCCAGTGTGCCACGAGTCGAATAAGGCGCCGCCAGCTTTTGTCAATATGAGAATGCCAGCACCTCCCGCGAAGCTGTACATGCCCGCAATACTTCCAGACAGCCTCGATCTGTCAATACCTTGTGCAGGGGCGCGCGACGTCCTTCGGAGCAAGGGAGCTCCTTCCTCTTCTGATTGTTGCTCTCCATGCTGAGGTGCAGCTGCGACTGATGTATTGCGAGTGACCGCGGCTTGGTTCACACCTCTCCCAAGCAGAGCAAGAGAGCAGACGATTGCTCCGATCTGGCTGATGCCAACCAAAATGACCGAGAGAAATGCCCATTGGCCGCCATCGCCGTGAAACGCGTCCGGATTTCTCAGAAGGCCGAAACTCACATAACCCACCACGCCAACCACTGAAGCAACGAGTAACGGCCACTCTGACCGACTGTTGGCCGCGCGTCCACCAATCCAGCCAAAGAGAGGTGCACAAATGAGAGCTGCCAGTTCTCCAATTCCAGTGAGTGCCGCAGCAAGCTTGTAGGCACGCTGACAATTTTTCTTGATGTCTGTCAGGTTGTCAGGGTTGGAGACACACAACCCGTTACGCACGAAATATGCATTCACAAATAGCGGGATGAAAAGGCTGATACCAACTGACGAAGCCCTTGCCACGAAGCCCCCGAGGTAGCCGAGGCCGATGGCCGGATCTGTGAAACCAAGCTTGAATGACTCTTTAGCCAGTGAGAAATACGATGGCGCTGGCGACAATATGATATGCGGATTGCCATCCACGCCTACAGTTGTTGTCTCATCGTAGGGAGGTTGCAAGAGGGCCGCCATGTTCTTCTTCTCTTCGCCAGGCAAGTTCCGAAGACCCACAAAAATGAATACGGCCACACACAGAGCCACCAGCGCAACGATGTAGAAACTGACTTGCACGCTTTCGGCTTGACCAAAACCTTCGTTCTGGAGGTGAGCCGGCAGAGGTAGAAAGATGGCCAGGGCTACCAATGCACCAGCTCCTGTGAAGAACCCTACGAGGCCCGCGAGTTGCGAAGTGCCAGCGGAGCTCGCAGCATTCTCGTCATCTTCAGCATGATGCCCACGAACGTTCTTGTTAGGTTCGACCCGCTGCTGACCATGCGACGCAAAGCTCGCTGGTGTTATCGTGAGCTCACTGTTTATGCTGGGGGAAGCCGCATGGCCCACACTGCCGTTGCGGACGCGCTCTTCTTCTTGCACACTAGCCAGATGGTTGTTGGGTATGATCGTCTCTTGGTCCTCTGCTTCTGCTCTTCGTCGATCGGCAATCATGGTCGGCAAGACAGCAGTGACCATAGTGCTGCAAGCAGCTCCGCCGAAACTAAACCCTAGCCTGCCCAGCAGAAGCTCGGGGTAGACATTGGTGCTCTGCACAAGGCAGACCAACGAAAACGCCACAATACAATATCCGATCACTGCCACATTCCGCACGCCAATGCGATCGCTTAAGAGGCCCCATGCCGGACATGCGACCAGTGCGAGTAACTCGTCTGCGAAGCCGAGCGTACCCACGGCATCCCCCACGCGCTCTTTCTGCCCGATGACTTCGGTGACAACGAAGGAGATACTGCTGTTGAGGAAGACGAGAAACGAGATGCTGAACAGCGCGATGCCGAGCAGGTATGTCGTGGCCTGGAGTCGTGTAGCGGTGAGAGTGGGAAAGAAGCGCGCCATGGCGAGTGATATGGCCTCGTGTCGCCTTCGGGATCGTTGTGATCGGCTTGGACAGTAATAGGATGTGCTATCGTCTGGGCCTTGCCCTTCTCATGTGTGACTCGCCATACGTGCGATGGTCCAGGCAGCTCTTTCAGCAAACCACAGCTCGACGTAGATGGTGTTGGCTAGGAAGTGGCTAGCGCGTCATTCGAAGCTTCCTGGAGTCAGCCAAGCAAGCACCGACCAGCGCTGTCTCGTGACATGGCGTTCTCACCCCACCGCCCAGCATGGGATGCCTCAGCATTGCTCTTGATATATCCTATCAGCATACACACTATTGGAGGCGAATGAGTCAACATTGGCACCCAGCATGCTATATAGCAACATTGCGTCGCTTTGTCATGATGTCACTTTCGAAGAGAACATTGTCCACCGGCGAGACCTAGAGTACATCGATCATGGCGGAGAAAGCCCCAGTCACTGATTATCAGCAGAGGGTGTATGCACTGCTTCGACAGATACCATCTGGGCGAGTGTCGACATATGCTGCACTCTCAAAAGTTCTAAGCTCGAGTCCTCGAGCCGTTGGTGGTGCGCTTCGAAGGAATCCATTTGCAGCTGAGGTGCCCTGCCATCGTGTGATCAGTGCGAATGGTGTACGTCTATAGCGGTTGTTCTGAAACCTTTGAGCTAACGGGCGTTGCAGTATATTGGCGGCTTCTTGGGAGAGTGGCACGAAGCTCCTAGTGGCATCAACCAAACAAAGAAACTGGAACTGCTCAAGCAGGAGGGCGTTCTGTTCACTGAGAAGGGCATGCTAGTCGAGCAATCACGATTTTGGGACGACTTTACCCTTTGATGAAAAAGTGCGGTGTAGATCCGCCTGGGTCATTGCGCGCAATGCAAATCGGGGCGAGGCCGAAGCAGTGAGGGAAAGAGCTGGGCGACTACCGTACGAACCTGCAGAATCGATCTCGACTTCGTTGTGTTCTCGATTGGCTGAGGCTAGAACATGACAGGCAGAGGTAGGCTTGCTCGCTGCGGAGCGCCTCCGACTGTTGCTGCCTCGTCACACCAAAGAAGGGTACTGTATGCAGTTTGGTGACCTTTGTTTGTGGCCGGCCCCTTTGCGTTCGCGCACCCCTCACAATTTGAAGCCGGCTGCGAGCTTTGCAGGCCGAGACCGCACATTGAGGAGATGGGGCTTGAACTCAGCTCGAGTGTCCAGCACTCTCAGCTCATCACAGCCACATGCTAACGCCTGTTTTGGTCTCGATTTGTAGTGACAACCTGGGGCTGTGGACTGGCCATTTGTGGAGGTTCTCTGCAGTTGAAGATCCTAAGAAGCTTAGACACAAACAATATAATTGAGTTGCAATTAAGTCGCACGTAGGATCCTGGTCCGTCAACGGGCAAGTTAATAGCACTATCACACGGTGTTACCCATCTCATGCGGTATCTGCTCGGTGGAGGTGGCCTTTTCAGCCAGATGCAGCACAAACAAGTGCTGCACGGCATGGGCGTAGCCTACGGAGGCTCAACACTCAAGAAGTGCGAGCTGAGAGCTTCGTGAGCACCACGACCAGTTGTGATTGAGCAAGTTGTTGAATAGAAGGCGTTTTGGCGGTTACTGCACATTCAGCCAAAGCTGGCCTAGATCGTTCGACAGATCTCCGACAGTGTCCTGGGTCCTGAGCTTGAAGCCTCAAGCTTCGGTCCGTTCCATGGTTGGTGGCTATTTCAAGACTCCGAGCTTGCTAATTATTGGAGGCCAACCTGCATCTGTCAGCCTGAACGATGCGTGCGAACTATGATCACACGGCCAATTGCAGGAACCAAACAGGCCGACTGCATTAGGTCGGAGCCTTGGGCTTGCCAGAATTCTCAGCGCATTATTCCTGCTGGCAGGAGTAGTGTCTCACGCTGCCACCTGTTGAGCGTGTTTCAAGCTGCTGAAACCGTGGTGCTCTGCCGGCCAGACCAGACGGCCATGTGAGTTCATGCTGCAGTGGGACCGAGGGCTCTAACAACCAGAAAGTTCCGCATAGATTGCACGGCCAGGAGGAAGCTTCACGGCGCCAGCCTGAACTCCGGCCCAACTGTGCAGGCGGCGCTGTTGGCAGTGGTATTGGCGGTCGTGGTGTGGCGGCGTGGTGCGCTGGGAAACAGGTTGCCTGGCATCGATCTAGGCACGTTCGGCAGTGCGCAGATGTGGCTCACGCTCGCCAGCTTGGATGCACCGTCGCGCTGGTCGCCAGCCTCACCTCCGCGCATCACAGATCCTGTGGATCCAACCACGAGCGTGCAGAGGGCGCGCGAAACTTGGGTGTGCTGCAGCAGCGAGCATCATTGCGCGACGCGATGCGATGCGCCATCGATGCTCCGGCGGGCATCGAAGCTAAAACGAGGGTCCGACCAGGGCGATCGGGCGATGGAGCGTGCAGAATGTCACGCCGGTTGCTGGACGGGCTAGGCGAATCTTTGATTCTGCTGGCCATCTGTGCGACGCGCTCGCTCGCGGCAACCCACGCTTGTGACCGTGTCTGCCCAGCTGCACGCCGGTTTGCGATTGGTGTCTTGCGCCTGCGCCAGAAACCATCTGCGATGACTGGGAAGATGATCCCCGATGTGCTTCCGCCCAGCGCCCTCCATATAGCCCACGCAGTCGCTGCCGGCACCATGGTGCGCCTTTGCGATCGCAGTCCCTGGTGCCCATCAGCCCTTCATTCCAGCGTCTCGACGACCTCCGGCTCCACCAGACACGAGTACATGGCGTGTACGTGATGCCCATGCTGGACACACTCAACTCCGGTTTTGACTACTTCACCATCCTCCCAAGTCGATTGGCAAACGAGACACCACTACTTTGCTCGCCGTTGGCCATACCAGACGGCCTCACAACTCCCTCGGCAGAACATCCCCTACTGGCTTTTAGGCCCCCGACCCATCCACCACTACTCTCGCCCAACATGGCCTCCAACTTGATGTCTGTCCAAACCACGGCCGCGCACGCACAATCACCTACTCGGCCACGTCCTGTTCCCATGCAGCAGAACGTTCTCTGGACCAGCAGCAATGACTCCAGCAGCTCCAGCGACAGCAGCTCCAGCGACAGCAGCTCAGACAGCACCTCACAGATTCCCGTGACAGCCCGCTGCTCAAGATGCCAGCGCACACCGAGCGTGGACATTCACACAGGCAAGAGCAACATGATCTCCTACGGACTCAATCTCTGGTACTGCAATCGATGCGCTGCTCTGGTCGGCTTCAAGCGCTGAGCAAAGAAACGAAACGCCAGACGATCAACAAAGACTTCTGGTGATTGATCACTACCTCCCACAACGCCATATAAGATGGACAGAACTAGTTCCACCAGCATCAACACCAACGGACTGTGTTTACAAGAAGCCTCCGATCCACAAACAAATTACACTCGGAATAGGCACGAGAGTATCAGTGCCGCCAAGACGAACATGTAATCCATGTCGACTGAGCTCAAACCAAGATGATGCAATGAAGTGGAGACCATAGCCTTGCGGAGCCGAGATTTGCCTGACGGTGTGCAACCCACGGTGGTACAAAATTCGAATGCGACCCTCCAGGCGCGTAGGCGACGCTTTTCTGACGACAGATATGATAAGACGGGAAACAGAGACGACGAAGATGTGTACATTATTATGATGTGACGAGCAAAACGAGACATGGTTTCATGTGTGTATATTACGTTTTCACAACAATCACATACTGCGAGGCTCTCCTTACTGCCAGTGCTCACTGAGCTGAGGCAATTTGGCCCTTCAACGTGAATGTTGTTGCTTTCTTGCATTGTTTATGCCCCCGAGGATGATTGGGAAGTGGGGTAAACATTGAACCTCCGATTTATCTTTCCATCAATGCCAAAAATTGGCTTAATGCTTTCCAGCTCAGTGATGTACCTCGGATGAAGTCGATGACAGTTCACATCACACAGATCTCCTCCAAGCGTCTGTTCAACGAAATGAAGCTCGTATAGTAGTCTCAAGAATGTCTACCAACCGCAAGACAGTTTCTGCCGGACGTAGCGCTACACGCCAAGCCGCCTGAAAGAGTCTATTGCCGGAACAAGGTTGCCGTAACATCTGTATCGAAACGAGCTATCGTCGATGGGGATCGCGAACTCAAAATCCACTCCTCATGTCGCTGCCAAGCTGCCACTGTATTCCAGATCTCTTTCAGCTGTACGATCTCGGACAGCTCACAGAGTCATTTCGACGTTGCCTTGTCCTCATTTCGATAGCGTGGAGTTGCATGCTTGCATGGCCCCCCAAGGACTCGTCGCGCATGTCCGCATGATCGTAGTTTGGTGTAAACACCTGCTACGCGGGCGCGCATCCCGAGACTATGTCACCTTGGAAGCGAGGCAGCGTAAAGTCCGCGTCCATCTCCGGTGGTATCGTGGCTTGCTTTGACTACTGGTCGGGTTTTAAGGTTATCGAGTTGCAAATCCTGCTGGCGTCCAGTGGCTGAGATGGAGCATGGATCTTAACAAGCCAAGGAGAGAACGACCTCTGTAGCTGCGACATGGTAGTTCGGCAAGCACTGAGGTTCCCGGCAGCGAGCAGTCGCTGGCTGAACAATAGTCCATGACTTCAACAAAAGCATTATCAGAATGAGTATTGACTGGCCATCCGAAGGTGGAATCATCAATGTTGTGTGCATCGCCATTGACTTGAACACCGCGGCACGGCACCAATGACATATCGCAACATTGTTGCTGTGAGTGCAAGTACAACCGTAGTGTGAACGGCGATCTCTCTGAAGAACATGGCGAAGGCTGCCCTGAGCCACTCAGCGGCTGAGAATCAGAGGACGACCGTCGGGCCTCAGGCCGCCACGGCCGCGTAGCCATTTGCGCGGGATCATGATGGTGTGCTAGTGCATCGTGGCATCGAACTCTCCATCAGCCGCATCGACACAGGTTGCAGGCAACGGAACGGTCGGCAGAACTTGCAGTAGTGTGGTGTGTGCAGAACGACGTCTTCGCTTCGAAAACAACGTCTGTGACATGGATTGGAGCGCAGGCGCAGCGCAGCGCACGTGAGCGGGCCGTTCCTGCTGGAAAACTGCAAAGTCTCAAAATTTTTGGAGAGCTTAGCAAATCGCAGTGAGGTACGACCATGGATGAGTACAAGACGTCAATTGCCAACGTCGATACGGCACTCAATAGGCTGAAGCATACGTTGGCATCCTTCGAGCTGTCTGCCTCTTCGGCTCAAAAGTCGAGCACTCCACGGACTGAAAGCATTCCTGCTCACAATCGCGAGAGCGACCAGCCCACTGACGGCAAAATACAATGCTCAATCTCTTCAAATGCTACGTCATCTTGTCCGGAGTCGATGCTCACACTGCGAGCATCTCGCCAGTATCCGGAGGTGTGTTCCTGACTTCCACAAGCCACGATCGGTTGACGTCGAGGTAAGCTGATGCGGCCTCCAGAAACATGTCAAAGGCAGCGCCAGGCTGGCCGAGCTAGAAAAGAGCTTCCATTATGTTGCCGAAAATCCATACTCGATACCCGCGCATGTTCTGATAGCTAGCGAATATCTTGGCCTTGGCTATCCGGATCTAGCTTCTGGGGCTGCGTACAAGGCACTTTTGCTCTCCGATGCGCTCGAAAACGATGCCGAAGAATATCATGATGAGGCTTGTGAAGCTCTGAAGACGATTATTCAGGGTCAGCCACTTGAGGAGCGTATCAAAATCATTCGACAAGCAATGGATGCCGGCATTCAGAACGGCGGTGTGTCCCCTGAGCTGGATCCCGCGCTTGACATTGAGATCACACTCTGGTTGAAAGTGCACTATTTATTGATCATGTGAGTCTTTTGAACATGAACGAGACTTGATAATCATTCTGACAATCTCTAGCTATCGCATCTTGGCGCGCAGCCTCTTGCTTTGTTCATGTTACCGGACTGCTCATTCATATGCACAGCAGGGGCTCTCCCTCTATTCGGACGATGAAGAGCTGAGCGATCTTCGCCAAAAGATACGCAGTGAGGTCACAAGACTTCATGGCGCTCAGCTTGAGGACTCTCCAAACGAATGGCCCGACCATGGCCTTGTGCGTCGAGAACTTTACCCCTGGAACGATCGAGAGCCTGACCGCATTGCCGACCTTGACCAAATCAACATGCTTATGAACGATGTGTCCGACAAACTTGAAGTTCGTGCAGTAGATTTGCCAGCGCTGACCGGCGATACCGATGGGACTGTGATGCAGCTCGGTGTCTTTGCGAAAGCTGACATCCAGCCAGGCGAAATCGTCTTGAACGAGACATCCCTCCTGACAGCGAACAACAAACTGCAAGATGCGCTCTGCGACGCTTGTAGTGCAGACCTTCCCGAAGTGGGCAGCGCTGACTGGGAAAAAGCAGTCGTCTGCGATGACTGTGAAGTCGTTTTCTGCAGCGATTGGTGTTTCGAAAATGCCAGAGACATGTATCATCCTGCCCTGTGCGGCCAGGACGTGGAAGCTATCGCAAAGGACGTGCCGCCGGCTCAAGCCGCAGATTCGCTATACTCGCTGCTCTTGCTGCGAGCACTGGCCATGGCGGAAACACAAGAGGTACACCCACTGGATTTACCAGATGTACGATACATTTGGGGCGACTTCACACCAACACCGGATGTTGACGCACCTGCATACCAAGAGCTGGACTCTTCTGCCTCTTGCCTGGTACCACGCACGTTACCATTCAGCTTCGAGAACAACGTACGTCTACCATTTCACATGCTCGAGAAGATGGACGTGGACATCTTCGCCAACACTCAGTACGATGTCTGGGTCTTCAACACGCTCTACGCCAAGTTCCGCGGCACAGCATCTGCACGCCTTTCAGGTCTCGGTGGTCGCGCGATTCGAGGCCCTGAAGTCTCCGCCGTGCACCCAATGTGGTGTCTCGCCAATCACAGCTGCGACCCAAACGTCAGCTGGGAATGGGGAGGTGCGATGAAATTCTGGGCAAAAGAAACTCGAGCGGCCTGGGTGGGCAAAGACGGAACTCAGACAGTGATGTCTCAAGCTGGCATCAAGAAAGATGAAGAGATCATGAACCACTACTGCGACATCGAGCTTCCTGTTAACGAGAGACGAGAGTGGGCGCGTGGCGCGCTCGGAGGCGATTGTCTGTGCCCACGTTGCATATACGAGGCAGAAGCGACAACGAGCAAGTAACAGCTTCGCCATACGCAGCTACTTTGATTTCTATCGCGTGACCTTCACTTTCTCACATTACAGGTAAGTCATTTCTACTGCACTGACCACGGAACGAAATTGTCACCGTTCGATCTGCTGCCTACTCCCATGCACTGGTCTGAACATTGAATTTCTCAACGTTCCAAGAAGGAAACGATGTGTTTAATTGACTTTCCCTTTCGATTCCATGAAGGTGATAAGTCTCATTCCACACCGACAAACAAAGCGTAAATCATGGTAGTTGGAGCGCGGATTCGCTAACCATCTTGCCGGACACTGACTTTGCTCTTGCATATGCTACATACTGTATCCTTGAATGCTGTGAAAGCTCCTGGCGCCCCTGACTCGCTATGCTTCAATCTCTCGAGAATGCTGTTCCACCTGATTTGCGATTTCCTCGTTGGCACGATGTAAGTCATCGCTGTCGCGGGCAGTGGTCCCAGATAACCGCGGCTCATCATCACCACTTCCGGCAGTCTCAGCGTCGAGTTGGGCCTTGTTCGGCTCTCTCCGTAGCTGAGCTTCGGATTTGGGATCAGAGTCTGCCCTGACACCTGCGGGTATCAGAGGCGGGCCATCTTCGTCGCTATCAAGTTGAAGCAGGTAAGTCTCCCAGAGTTCGATGAGCTAATTCCTCGTTAGTGAATGATCGAGACACGTGGTATCGAACATCGTCTTACCTCTTTCTGTGCCTCAATGGCGCTCTCCAGGAATGTCTCGACTCCACTTTTGAAGTCTTCCACCTTCTCTCGCTCGAAGCGGTCGAGTTCAGCTCGCATCAAGCGACCCATGTCTTCGAATAGCAGTCGAGTGGCATGCACTCGTCGCTCCTGGTCTGCAACATCTGCTTGCATCTGACCCAGTCGATCTTGTTGCGTACGACCTGCCCGAAGCAGTTTGTCTTGCTGCTTTTTGATGTCAGCCAACTTCGCCTCTGCCGAATGCCATGAGTGGAAGGCTTTCTGGCGTTGCTCGAAGGCTTTCTTCACTGAACCGATAAGGCGAATGTATTCGTCAATGACAATCCCCAGTGTGAGCACATCCTGCATTGCCTGACGCTGGTAGAGCTCCTGTATGCGAAGTTGCAGATCACCGAGGGCATCCAGAGGTCCACTCAAGCTGGGCGATAGCTCAACAGCTGCCAGATTGTGCAACGACAGACTGAAGTCCGCACATGCTTCGGCGAGACCTTTGCGTTGAGCCACGACCGTGTCGGTGCTTTTTTGAAGCGCTTTGAGCTGGCTCTCCAAAGCATCGAGATATACACGGCGATCGTGAAACCAATCATCATGCTCGATGAATTTGCCTCCCGAGCTGCCTCCCAGACCAATGCTTGACATAATGCCTTTGGACTCAGTGCCGCCTAGGAGAGGGTCCTTTCCGGAGTGTTTAATTGCCACGCTGAATTGCTCTGATTCGAGGAACGTCTTGAGATCACCATCCATTTGCAGGATAGGGTGGGAAGCGATCTTGTTGATCATCCGCTCCAACGCCTGCCTTCTTGACTCGATGAAGTTTTGATCAAAACGTCCCATAGCTTGCTTCTCAGGTGGAGGCGGAACTACAACTCCGGGATTATTATCGTGCAATCGTTCGTACAGCCATAGGAAATCGCGATATCGTCTCGTCACGGTAAAAGTCGGATTCATATAAGCCTTGGAAGTGGTTTTGGTGATGACATTGTATGCCGTGTGGCTGCCAGTCGCTCCTCCTACATTGTGCGGGTCGCCAACGACAATGTGGAACGTCGGCTTTGCTGCTTGCTCGACAGGTTGTGATGGCTGTGCAGGTCTGTGTCGGCCGCCAAACTGCGGAGGCTCCACTGGAGGAGGGATGCGAGGTCCGCCATTCAGCGAGCTTCCATCATCGTCGAAATCTGCACCGCGGCTGGACGCAGCCGACGCCGCAGTCGAAGGGCGAGAGCCAGCAGCATTTCGTGTTCTCGAGGCCAACTCTTTCACAGGAGGCGTAGGCGCCATGGGCTCGTCGACCGGCTCCATCCCTAATGGACCCAGTGGCCCCATGGAATCGTCGAGGGTCTCGAGCGTTGTGGACTGCGTGAGGGTGGCATGGCCGCGACCTCTTCGGGTTTTCGTTGGAGCTGGTTTAACGCCGGCGGCGATGTTCGGTGTGGATTTGGAGAGACCGGCGGGCGAAGCAGGCTCTGCAACTTTAGAGAGTCAGACGGCGTATCATGCCACGTTGTATGGACTTCTGACGTACCAGGCGGCGACGAGGGCGTCTCTTCAGCCTGTTTGGCGAGATTGTGGTTCGAGGGCGAGCGCGAGGGCACGTCTGTGGGCGCAATCAGCACATGGGAGCGATTGAGCGGGTGTGATATTGCGCATGGCACCGACCGTCCCAGGGAGAAGCGCCGTCATCCATTGTCGCCCATGGATCGTCGACGAGAAGAGTGTTGCTGGAGTGGTCCATGGCGGCGGCCTAGCTTCGTATGCGACTGCGGTTGGTCCCGCACGTGCATGTACGTACGTCGTCGTCGTCCTCCGTCCACCCTAAGTTAGACGCTCGAATCATCCGCGATCGTGTCTTGGTGCTGGCCGCGCAGACAGAAGCATGCACTGCAAGCGCCGCACACACGAGCAATGGGACATGAGATGAGGTGGAAGGTTGACGCACGAGCCTCTGCTCTCTGCCCGTCAGCCTCGCAATGGCGCGCATGGATGCCCATGTGTGGACGAGGGTTCAGTCTGTCTGACCACCGCCCGTCTGCTCTACCATCTCGACACTTCTGCTGCGCTGGACGGGAGGGCACATCGAACATGTCCACGCCGCGAGCTCACATGCGTAAGAAGGCGTGAGGACTAACCGGACTACATCCTCGCTGGAGAGCCTTGATGCGCTATCTCTAAACCGTATGGCCTGGTCAAGGTCGAGTCCATCAACGGCGTTGTTTTTGGCAGCTATATGGTGGAATAGTCCTAGTGGAATACCGCTGCCACTGCAATTCCGCATCATACTTCTGCCCAGCACCACTGTGGTCTGTACATATGTTGTTTCAATGTAGCATTGCCAGGTCTGGCTCTTGGCACTTTAGTCCGATGTCTGCGAGCCAGAGTTGCGCGCAAACGGCTTTACCCGAGCTCTGGCAGCCGGAGCACAGCTTCTGCTTCAACCACTTCCATATCGCACCTCCACCCCATTGACCACTCTGCCCGTCATGAACTCGCTGCGAATTGCCCGGGGCGCCCTCAAGGCTGCCAAACCTGCCTTCCGCGCCGCTCCAGCCCTCCGCCGTGGCTACGCCGACGTGGCATCCGACAAGATCCAATTGACCTTGGCCCTCCCTCACCAGGTACGTGAGCAGTGCGATGACCTTGCGATGCATGCGTCTCGGGCATCTTCAATGGCGCATCTTCATCCGCGCGGAGCAGGCGAGCTAACGCGTATGCAGGCCATCTACAAGTCCCAGGATGTGTACGTGCTTCACCACTAATCCACCGCCGACCACGACCTCGAGAGCGACCCGAACACTGACACGGAGCAACAGCGTGCAAGTGAACATTCCAGCCGAGTCTGGAGAGATGGGTGTCCTCGCCAACCACGTCCCTTCCATTGAGCAGCTCAAGCCAGGTCTCGTGGAGGTCATTGAGGAGCAGGGTGGAAGCAAGCAATTCTTCTGTATGTGGAGCCCGGAATACATCTGATGATGAGATCTATCGGATAGCATGAGAGCACAAGGGCTGCGGAAAATTGGACAACCAGTGGCTAATGTGCCCTGTGAACAGTGTCGGGCGGTTTCGCGACCGTGCAGCCAAATTCCGTCTTGAGCATCAACGCCGTTGAGGGGTACCCGCTTGAGGATTTCAGTGCAGATGTACGCTCAATTTCAAGGCACGTGTGAGGTCACGCTGACATTGTGCAGGCCGTAAGGAACCAGATCGCCGAGGCACAAAAGATTGCCAGCGGCGGCGGTAGCGAACAAGATGTCGCAGAGGCAAAGATTGAGCTCGAGGTAGGTCGCATGCGAACATTGCATATCTACAGCATAACCCACTGACCATCGAATAGGTTCTGGAGACTCTTCAAGCCCAGCTGAAGTAGATTCCCTTGATTGTACATACTGTATACCATTAAGTCACTGCCTTAGATCGCCCAAGAACGCAGCACGACAGGAACGACTTGTTTGACGGCCCAGTGACACTCGCTCTTGCTTCTGCCGGCTCCGGCAGCCCCGATGCCTGCAAGGCGAATCGTTCTGCCCATTTCTTCCATTCTGCGATTGTGACAACTACCTGCACCTCATTTCATCTTCATTCGCAACAACCGATCCATATTTGGACTGACTATCGCTCACAGAAGCCGGCTTCTAGCATTCATGTAGAAGCAAGTAAATGCCAGCCTGCTCCACCTTCAAGGCAAGCGGCGAGACCGCTTCTCGCACTGCTGCTGTCAACACGCTACTTATTCGTGATGACTGGAAGGATGAAGAAGGTAATGCCAGTCACTCAATGCGATTCTAGAGGCTGACAGAGAAACACAGCGCGACAAGCTGCTCCGTCGCCTTCGCTCGCGCCCAACTTTTGCAAGACTTCGGGGCAACGACGATGCCGAAGTGCGCAGTGTAGAGAGTACCAGCACGAGGGTCAGTCGTGCCCTGAGCAAGAGAAAGTCGGTTGCAGACTCTTTGAGAGTATATCCTGGGTCTCCGCCTCTTCGATCTGTTCGCAGCGACGAGGAAGCAGACACTGGACCAGAAGCGGAGCCGCAAACAACGACAGAACTCGGGCCCGCTGCAGATTCTGCGGAAGTGACGAGGATACCTTCCAATATGACCCTAGATACTTTGCACACAGTCGATACCCTACACGATTCACCCCCTGGAAGTATTTTAACAAAGACGAGGCTAAAGGCGCGGCATCTCTTCCCGAAGAGTCATGGTCGTTGGCACGAGGACATTTCTTCGCCGGAGAGGAACTCAGCCAGTCCACCGCCCGAGGACAGCTCGCAATACCCAGCAAGCGTGAGATCAAGCGCGACGAGCATACTATCCAAAAGCAAGCGCGTACCAGCACGCGTGAAGTCAAAGTTGAAACGCAGCTTGACGGTGGTGCGGACACAACTCCGTCGGAAGCGTGGAATCAAGCAAGCGGTGCCAGATCCCATGTTGTGAACGTGGCGGATCGTGTACGAGCATTCGAGTCGAAGGCGACATGTCCATTCTCAGTCACGACCACACGCAAAGATGGCAAGACGCGGGCCGACACGACAAGCACGCGAGATGATACCGAACAGCCCGTTCCCCTCGTCTTTCCTTTGCACGTCAGACGCTTTACTAGAAGGACAGGTAATGGAAGGTTTCTACGACCGCAGACGCCGCTCTACAGATCTTGTCCGGACGATGACACAGAGATACATGCGCCGCTTCCTCAGAGGACGATACCGATAGTGAGGTCGCCCATTGAGCGGAATGTTGCGCCTGCAGGAACTTTCCCCGACGATGATCTGGAGCGCGAGCTCGATCGACGAAGCGCGGACGGCCTCGCTGCGCCTCATTCATTGTCGGGCGATGATGCCACGGCGAAGGCCGCAGATCCGGCCAAGACACCACTGGCACTTCCCCAATACCAAGTGAACCCCCAAGAATGGCCTATGCAGACTCCTCAGGCCATTACCACGCGGGTAGGCCCAGTGTCTCATTTGCATGGTCGTCGCAACTCGTGCTTTCGGCATGGCAGGCAGATGACCACATTCAAAGGCACTCGAGATCTCTACGATCAAGGCGGCAGAGGTCAATATGTTGCGGCAGGTTTTGATGAACCACGGAATGTAGATGCTACCAGTCCCTATTTGGTGCACAACTTGACGAGATACTCGAGAGCCCTCGACAGAGATGATGCATGCCCTGACTGCGTGGCTGAACTGAGGTTGGTCACGGTTAACTGTTTCCGGAAGCTAAGCATATGTCTGCTGACACGAACTCAGCATTCGAAGACGCGAGCCAGAGGCTGAGAACCCCTCATGCGCCGAGATGCCAATTGCTTCGAATCTGCTCCAAGACCATTCCACCTTCGAGGACAATATTGAGCAAAAGGGTACCGACTCGGCTGGCATATTGCGTAGCTTGCATAACACAAACGGACCTGCGGTGATACCTCCACTGGGCCAAAAGTCGTGTCAAGTTGAAGACGACACAGACAGCACTTCGCTCGACGCACTAAAAGAGTCGCGAATGACTGCAGCTGACGAAGATCGTAGGGGTAGGTCTCCAAATCCCAGCGGGTATGCCGCAACCTCGGACAGCAATGGAGATGACAGACTGGAAGATGAAGACAAGATGGTTTTGACGTCAGATCTTGGTGAGGGTTTGGATGCAGTGATCCTGGAAAGAGGAGGACGACTTGAGCGAGTGATCATGAACCTCAGGAAGAATACGCCTACAGTGGCAGCCCTGCTACGACTCTCTCGCGAATTGATCCAGGTGGCGGATGCCTTGGAAGTAGCTGCTTCGCAGGGGGCAGATTCGACGGATGGTGCTCACTCGAGCCCAGGCGAGCCAACATTCTTCCCCGCCCAAACAGTAAGAGCAGACTTGGACAACACGCCTCCTCGCATAACCGACAGCACCGTCACGCGCCAGTGCAACATCCCATCCACTATCGCTGATTGTGATATTGCACACTGCCAAGCCGTCCCAAGCCAGGAACTGTTCAAGCCCTTTCCGAGGCGAGCATTGACCAAAGCACCTTTACCTTCGGCAGGCGCACGCATCGCGAATCGGCAGAGCATTGAAGCTGATTACAAGGCACTGCGCAAGCACTTCGGACGTGGGAGCAGCTATGACGAGGCCGAATTCGCCGAATTGGGCGCAGAAGACCGTCTACAGATGCGCGCCGCTCGCACATTTCGGACAACACCTCTAGGTCACAACAGCGATCCAAGACTCCTCAAAATGGCCTCCGTATGCTCTCCACGCGACGTCTTCTCTGACGATGTAGCGTCCTTGGGCGTTCCGAACATCTCCGTTACAGACAATGGCAACTACGAATATGATCCAATTCCACTACCATCGCACATCCTCAAAGCACGGGACATGATGTATCTACCACTTTCCTGGAGGACAACTGGTACTCGATCACCTCCGCTATTCTCCCAGTCGACTGGTGTATCTCCCAACGCTTCTGCGACCAGCTCTACCGAGCACAGTCCTATAAGAGGCATCGATTCTACAGTAGCGGACCGCCCACGAGTGCACACGTGGAAGGAGCTGACTGACGCGACCGCTCCCTCGCCTGATACAGCACGAAGTGGGCAGACATCGTCTCAGGATCACCGCGTTTATTCCGAGGATCAGAGTCTGCGACACGCAGATAGGATTGGCAAGAATCAAGCCGTGCATGAAGCTGCAGCATTGGAGCGACAGACGAGACGGCGGAGGTATACGAAATCACAAGTGAGGGCGTTGGACGAGTAAAACACAGCTGTGACCTGTGCGATATATTTTATAACATCCGCAACAACCCCTACGACCCTATCGACATCTCTGTACAGACGAAGAACCTGCTTCTCCATGAACCTATCGACAAACCCGCATTTTCACATTCCGTCATTGAGTACGTGATCATATCTTATCATGCCCTGTAGTGCTGAGAATCTCCCGTTCCATGAAACCAGAATGCTCGCTCAGAACGCCAAATTCGAAGCCAGATGAATCCGCACACCATTACAGAACATGCTCACGAGAACTCGACCCTGTTTCCTCTTGACGCTTCTAACCTCCTTGCTCTCTCTGCTCTCCTTCTCTTCCGATTGTTGTCGAATGCGCTCACGTCAGTGCCAGTTCCCAGGTCCGTACCTCCTGTATTCCCAGGACTCGCGACCATTCCGCTTCCAGCCGGGCCGCTCACTGGAGGCACGCCCGAAGGGGACTCGGAAGCCTGTGGAACACGGTGAGGAGGCGGTGTGGGCAGGTTCAGTTCCGATGGAGGTCGACCACTGCCAATGAGAGAATTTGACATTGCTGGTGGCGGAACGGGTACGTTGGAGATCGGCTGCTGGCTTGAATCCCTCATATGTGCACCATTCCTCCTGTACCTCGAAGGGCCCTCATCGGCACTGCTCAGGCTAGAAGCACGTCGTGATCTTCGCTCGCGTCTTCGAGCAGCACGCTCGGCCGCGGCTTCTTCCTCATTCAATCGTCGTAAGGTGACGTGCTGTCCATCTGGATGCATTTTCATCTTGAGACTGACTGGCGGGCTTTCCACGCCCAACGCACTCGCTTGCGAAGGGCCCGCTGAGGTCATACTGCCACGTCGGCCCGGGATTCGAGATTTTGAGCCTGTCCGAGAGCGCTGCCGTCTAGTTGGGGATAACGACTGCGGCCTTTGAGTCGCTGCCAGCGCCGCGCCGGCCAGCGCTGCTGACGTTGCAGCCGCCGTGGTGCCGTCTTGAAAGTGACTTTGCCCGTATGTCTGCTCCGAGACTAATCTCGATGGGTCTGGCTCAACGGCTCCTGGTGGCATCTGAAGCGAACCAGGCGGCGGGGGCGCGTAGTTTGCAGGCCGTGAAGTGTCAGCTGGGGGAGGACCTGGAGGCGGAGGTGGCAGCACAAACGTGGTGTTTTGCTGCTGGGACTGTTGTTGGTACGGCTGGGGTGGCATATCATATCTCACAGGGTCCTGCGGTGACATGGGAACCGCTCCAGCTGCCATTGGAAGCGGAGGTTGACTGATGTCTGGTCTCAAGCTCTGCCTCGACACCACAGGATTGCTGCCAGGAGCGTGCTCTGGGCCTGTCATTAGCGTGTCGGAGTGACTAGCGCGCCGACCGCTGGCATCCTGGGGGCGAGGATAGCGATTGGAGTTGCGTCGGTTGTACTGTTCTTCGCTCTCGAGCTGTTCTTGCCGCAGCTGGTCCTGTTTCTGTCTCTCGTTTCGATCTTTCCTACGCTTGTTCCATTCCCTAAATCCAGCAATTGCTCCCATAGTTGCGATGCTCTCTCGCAGATTCGGGCCATCAGATCCGGGTCTAGGTGGCGGTGCATAACTTGCCTCGTCGTCGTACGAGACGGAGCTCACGCTGGGTCGCCTCCTGTTCGGCGGTCTTGAAGGCGTCATCTGCGTCGTCTCTGAGATGAGTGTTCCATGACCCCGTTTCGGATCATGTGGCGAGAAAGGAGCATGGCCAGCCTCGACTCTGGACACATCCGTTTGACTGACAGTATTGGTCATCCCATGAGGAGGGGGCCTGTAGCTGACATCGGAGTCGACGTAATTGTCTTTACGCTTCTTGCTGCCAAACATACTCTTCAACCCTTGAAAAGCCGCTATTCCAGCACCTGCTCCGAGCAGTCGATTGCGCCATGTGTTGTCACGGGGTGGCTTCTCGCCATACTTTTCGTCGTCGTCGTACTCGTCATTCTCCCAACTTTGGGGAGAGAGGACTGTATCATCGTGCCTCCGCGCTGGGCCACTGCCTCTGCTAGATGCTCTGTGCCGACCGTCGTAAGTAGCTGGTGGGGGTGGCCTGCTGGGTACGCGACCGGGACGGCCATAAGGTGCCGGTCCTGAGTAAGCGACTGAAGAACCAGGAGGGCCTGGCGTGCGACCTGGTCGCTGTGTGTTGTTCACATTGCTCTCAGTGTACTCGTTGTAGCGGTCCTCGTCTTCCTCCTTCTCTCGCCGCCGAGACCACCACTTGTACGCTCCAAATAAACCTGCACCGGCCAGCGCTTTCTTGGCCCAGCCACCACCTTGCTTCTCATCTCGGGATCTGCTCTCCGCTCTTCGACTGCGCCGATCGTGCGTCAACTCTGTTCTGTCACCGGTCAAATAGCTGCCGCTGTAGTCTGAGTAGTAGTCTGATCTTGCGCCTGACACGGCTACTCCATCTCCGATGCGAGGCTTGTTCCGGTATTCGAGTGCGAGATAGAGGAATACGAGAAGAGCGCCCACCAATGCGTAGAGAATGAATAGTACCTTTGGAGAGCCATAAAGCGTCAGACCGAGCGCGATCTGGACGAATGCGAGCATAGCCACTGCTCGACCGAACAGCCTATGGATATGCACCTTCAGTGGTATGGTTGGATGCGGCTTGGTCCGCTTTCTCTCTCGTTTGGACATCCACCAGCCGTAGATAAACTGAACCAGGACACAAACGTAGATGGCCAGCCCAATTCCATGATGCGGATTTGTCAAACTCCGTTCAGGACCCACTGCGAACCAGCCCAGAGTGAAAACCACGGTAGCCAGGAAGACGGTCATGATTTGGAGGTATACGTGTAGTTTATATGCCAGCCTCCCACCGGAGTGGTAGAACCTCGCGATCAAGATGGCAGCTGGCACCACGCCAATGAATGTAATGGCCGCCATAACTCCATGCCCAATAATGAGTGACCTGTATTGCGGCATGTCTCGAAAGCGATTGCCCATGCCGTTGTATCGCATCGTGTCGAAATTCAGTCCTTGCAAATTCGGCAACAAGAAGCTGTTCCGCGAAGCATCCCAGGTGCCGTCACCTACGAACATGGTGCTGCTGTCGTAGGTGCTGCTCCCGGGAGCAGACAGTCCGTCGGTGGACATGTCGATGCAGATGTTGTCGTGCACCGGTCAAGGCGACTGCGCGCTCGGGCGCCCGTGTGCAGTTGAGCACGCAGTCTCTAGACCATGGCGGTGCAGAAGTTTGAGTGCTCGTATCGCTTGCGATTTCTTCTCCAACTGTGGTATGGCTTCTCGGCAGCTCGCTTCGTGGCGGGGTAGATGGACTCGATTCTGTGGGAGACGACGTTGCTGGCTTCGGTGTACAATCTTTGCGTGCGCGGTGTAGCGATGGAGGCGGTTGACGATGATTCCTTGTAATCTTGGTAACTGGCGGAGTCGTCAGTGGTGTTGGCATAGGCTAATGCACGACGCCTCTTACCGCTTGCTCTGCTCAGCTACCACGTCGATGCGCCAGCAGGGATGCGTGTTGACACGGCAAGAGCAACCACAGTAACCGGCAACACCCGCTAGCGCCCGAATGTGGACAAAACCTAGAAATATGCTTGGCAGTCCTCCCTGGAAGCCGATATTTATTAAGTTGTGCAGCTCTGCCGTTCAGGATATCCTGTTGCTGCTTTGTCTAAAGTCTGACCTAAAATTGTTGTACTCATCAGTCATAGAGTCGTCGTGAACTCAATTCAAAATGATGAGGAAAGTGGTGGCAGACGAGAGTCGCATGCGAAACCTGTCTGGATCTGGCCTATGCGGCACTTCTGTACATTATCAATATATGTTTATGTGCACTCGTACTGCTCGCCTGCGAAACATCGAGTGTTGCATTCCTGTAACGATCTGTCTCACGAACCACTCTCATCATTGATTTCAAAACCTCACCAGGTGTGCTATCTCAGACGAAGCGCGCAAGGACCGCCGTGGTCAATGGATATCGGTAGGGCGCATCGGCTTCATGCTTCAGTCGCTCGACCTCATCCAAACGTTCGGCACTAAGCCAGTACACCTGGTTTTCTGTCAGACGGTGCAGGCTCCAGGATGCTGCACAAGTTACTCACCTTGCCACATTTCTGCTGCAGATCGCATATTGAGGACAAGCGGCGATCAAGACGATCATGATGTTTGTCGCAGTGTTGTTCCTGCCCGGTAAAGTCGAGGTCACTGTAGTTGGCAGCAATGGTGCAGGACGCGAGATGCAGTGCAACTTTCCAAGCCAATTCTGCACCACCGACCATTGGGCCGTAGCGTAATATCTCGTTCACTTGGTAGCTGACGGAACACAGAGGTCAGCAGAGGCTCGTAGCGACGTCGCGTAGTGCTGTTGATGGATACGTACACAGATGATCGCACGGAAGCTGTCAGAGCGGTTCTAGGAATTGCTGCAGGGCGGTCGTGTGCATCTGCTTTCACACGCCCGATCGCTTGGGCAATGTCTTCCATCGTTGATGTGTATAGCTGGCAGACTTGCGATCGACGTACGTTGGGGTCTCTGGAGCCTCTCGTATGTGTGAGAGGAATCGGTCCAGTAGAGGTCGCCAGAGGTAGTTCATCTGTTGGCCAAGTCGCAATCGAGACGTTGGTGTGGGAGACGAGCACTTCCGTGACTGACATGCTTGCGATTGTGAGTGATGTTGAGGTGAGGGTTCAAAGGAAATCGGAGACGCAGTGCAGAGTGCATCTTACAGGTGCTTACTCTGCAATGCAGTACCGTGTAGTAGTCGCGTCTCTGTGTTTCATATCATTCGTGATCTATCACTTTTGCGCAGCTCCGACGCGTGCCTCTACGCGCCGTGAGCTCACCGTTCACCGCAAGCTCTCAGCAGCGGCATATGCTACGCAGACATGGAATGAACCTTGGCCGTATGGTCGTATGTTCACTCGAAGAGGTGGAGAGACAAGCTGCCACGGTTCCTACCCGAATTCGATGCGACTCGGCTGGTGTCGAAGGAAAGCGAAAAAGCATTGGTCACACGCGTCTGTCGCCTCAGGCGCGCTTTCCCCCGCGTCCCCGAACGCGTCTTCGCGCGTCTCGTCTCCGGCACGTCCGACTACCATCCCTCTTCGTCCTTGCCCACCATCGCCCACACTGAAAGTCAAGACCCTACACGACCATGTTGGCGATATCGAGCGCCCCGCGTATCGACGCGAAGAAGCGTGCCGTCAATCACAAAAAGGCCCAGTTTCAGACGGCCAACTTCGCGGAGCAGGATTATGCCCATCGCATGAACTTCTATGTTATACCACCAACTGGAGATGTGACGCTGGAGCAATTTGAAGAGTGGGGAATCGCACGACTGAAAGTGCTCGCTGAACTGGAGTCGTGCCAGTTTCGCAACCGCACGCCTGCAGAAACGGAAGAGTACATGCGGCCCATCCTCGACAAGCATCTGCCCCTCTCAAGTAACAGCTCTCGCAACACCGACATTCCCATGCAACGTAAACGGGACCACTACAGCCACTGGACGCTTCGTCTCGCCTTCTCCAGCACTCAAGACCTACGACAAAGGTTCGCCCGACTCGAGACACAGCTGTTCAAGCTGCGCATCCAGCAGGATGACCTACGAGAACGAAGATCATTCATCGAATCATTACCCATGTCGTGGGAGACTGTTGGCGAGGAAGAGAAAGCACAACTGCTCGATCAACTGAAGGCCGCCACGGGCTTTTTCAACAAGACCGATGAAGAGAGCTGGTTTAAATGCGAGTGGGAGAACGTGCCAGAGCTGGTCGAGAGACGGCAGGTGTTGCTGAAGAGGGGCAAAGCATATGTCCATGTCAGAGAGCAGATGAGTATGGTTGTCAGTGAGTTCTCGCGACAGCTGGAGTCAGGTCTGGAGCTTGCGGCACGATTCTTGCCTCGGATGGACGAAGACAATAGACTGGCCCCCATTCTCCATCACCTGTCGCAATCCTTTGTGGCACCTGATGCGGGTTATTCAGAAGACTCGAGCTTGGGCGACATTACGAACGTGACCGCGGCATCCATCGATTCGTACAGCCAGCATTTCCCTCTATGCATGCAGAATCTTCATCGAGAACTGAAGAAGAACAGCCATTTGAAGCATTTCTCGCGCCTACAATATACCCTGTTCTTGAAAGGCTTAGGCTTGAACTTGCAAGAGTGCATTCTCTTCTGGAGGAGGAGCTTCAAGCTCATTACAGATGGTGAGTTGTTCCCTACAGTCACTGCTCACAGTTTACTGATGGATGTACAGACAAATTCAAATCCGAATACCTTTACAACATTCGTCACGCTTACGGTGATGTCGGTGGTGATGCAAATAAACGCGGGCGTGGCTACACACCCTACAGTTGCCAGAAACTGCTCACCGAGCCACTGCCCGCCAGTGGCCAGAATAATGGTTGCCCTTATCGTACCTACAGTCCCGACAACTTGATCACGTTGTTGCAAAATGTGGGCGTGAACGACAAGGAACTCCTGAAGGGTGTTCGAGAAGACGTCGGCAGACAAAGGTATCACATTGCGTGCAACAGGGTCTTCGAAGCGGCGCACAAGAATGAGCTCAAGAAGGTGAGTATCAAGGTATATTTCATACGCTTTGAATCGCCCTGCTGACATGTTCGTGAAGGTGAAGGACGAAAATCTGTGGCCTGCCAGCGAATTGGACACAATCTTGCACCCCAACACCTACTTCAAACGTAGCTTCCAGCTGAAGAACCTCGGCAAGATACAGAAAGGCGATATTGGTATGGACGGGCCGACGCCATCGTCGGCAGAATGATGATCAATGCGGAAGTATCCTTGATCTGATAAAGTGTCCGAAGCGTCGTCATCAAGACCTTCGACAGCGCCAAAATGCATTGCACGAATGACTCCAGACGATTCACTTTGGTGACGATGTCTGAACAGAACGAGCAGGAATTCAGTGAACGACAGGAAACGACGACATATGTTGCTCCTGCCTTTTCAGTACGAGGCCGAGAGCGTTACGTGTTTTGAGAGACGGAACCCTGACGGAGTCGCAGCGATCGACACGCCCACACGACACGGCGGAAACCAAAGCTGCCAATTAGGAGCTCCGTTCAGACGCAGCTAGTCTGGTATGATCCGAGATCTGCACACGCAAGACCGAGGCCGAGGAACAAGCTCCTTCGTCAAGGCTTGACTTCGAGGCTTGCAGTGCTTCTCATTGCTTAGCGCCTTCGACCATGCACCAAGGTGCCGTCTCTCAGCACGTCTTCACCGTGCTGAGTAGAAGTTGCGGATGAGGTTCTACGATCGGCGCACCCAGCTTCCTCCCATTGGACCATGCCCGCTTCAATGGCTTGTGCATTTGACACTTGTGCGATCGATTGAACCGCCACGCACAAGACGACTGCACGATTGACGTATAGAGGAGGAGTAGTGGCGCAAGAGAGAGCCCAAAGTATATAGCAGTCAATGCCAGGTATGCCTTCGACACAAACACTTTTCACTCAACACATCTTCCCAGCATGAAGTTAGCCCTTATCCTCTCTGCTGGAGCACTTGCTCTTGCCGCTCCAACACAAGAACAAAGTCCGGGCGCTCGGATTGCTTTTCCTCGGAAGAGACACAACCAAATCCGCAGAGCTGATGGCAGCGTTGACCTCACCTGGTTCAAACGCACGCTGAAGACCACCATCTTGAAGTATGACAGCGGATTCCAGCTGCCAGAGATCCTCAACGATGTCGATCTGCTGTTCAAGCGTGACACGGACGCAGAAGAGCACCTAACAGACGTCGTTGAGGGTCAAGAGGACGAGCTCTACTATGGCGCTGGACAGGTCGGAGCTGCGAAGCAGACCTTTACCTTTGACTTCGACACTGGTAGCTCGGACACTTTTGTTCCTGGCCCACAATGCGGTACTGCCCAGGGCTGTGATGGCAAAACCAAGTACAATCAACAGGGTCAAGATGAGCATAACACTGTGAGTTGGTCTTGAAGCTTTCTTTTCCAAGGCATGCGCTGAGAAACATTCAGACTACAGTTACCTATGGCAGCGGAGAAGTTGCTGGCGAGAATTACTTCGACAGCGTAACTGTTGCTGGCCTCACCGCGACGCACCAGAACATCATCTCCCTCACTCAAGCTCAAGGCTTCAGTGGCACAGGCTCTGACAGCTTGATGGGCATGGCGTTCCAGTCGATCGCCAACTCCAAGCAGCCCCCTTTCTTCTTCTCGCTGATCAACCAAGGGAAAGTGTCGCCAACCGAATTCTCCTTCTATCTTGGACGTCAGAAGAGCGGCACGGCGCAGAACAGCGAGCTTACACTTGGGGGAAGGGACTCCAGCAAATACAAGGGCGTCTTTACCCAGGTACCTGTCACAAGCCAAACCTATTGGCAAGTCAAGATCGATGGTGCTTCGGTCGGTAGTAACGCAGCACCCGGAACCACCTCTGGACAAGCAGCTATCGATACTGGAACAACTCTCATTATCGCTCCATACCTCGCCGCCATTTCGATCTTCTCCCAGATTCCTGGAAGCATTCCACTCCCCCTCGGAGCAGGTATCGTCGGCTTTGCATATCCATGTGCATCGAAGCCACAAGTCAATCTCCAATTTGCGGGTAAGAAATTTGCCGTCAACCCCCTTGACTTCAACTTTGGTACCTTGAGCGAGGACTTTGGCATTCAGCTCGGAAACGATACACTCTCAGGCCTTCTTGGTGGTTTGATCAATTCCTATTGCGTCGCCGGCATCGCTGGTGCGGACTTGAACCCGACATCGACGGAGAACTTCTGGGTTGTCGGAGACACTTTCTTGAAGAACTGGTACTCCACATTCCAGTATGTCAACCCGCAGAAAGCATATGTAAACTTTGCGAAGGCGGTCTAAGGTAGAACGGCGGTGTGCTTGATTGACCTGGTACGAAATTCATGGAATGTTATGAATGTAAAATACGAAACAAATATGATCGAGCACGTTGCGTCTCGACCATCCTTTCTGAAGCAACTTGAACAGTTCATGAATCTTGGTTTCTTTACTATACATGTCATACAAGAGTGGGGCGGTGTTGACGGGCAGCTTCCTTCTGCCGAATGTTAATTTATGCATTATATGGTCGGTTCAAGGCCAGTGGGGGCTCGTTCGATGTTCGTTGCAGCCACGTCAGATGCCACAGCCTCGATGTAATGCGAGTAATTCTGTACACGATGATGGTACACTCCGTGAAATGCTGGCGCAAGGTGGCCTTTCCAGAGAACCAGAACGCCGGATAGATGCACAGAAGCCGGAACGAACATGGCGGAAGGGAGAAATGTCGCAGTCCATGTGCCACGGACAAGGTCTGCAATGACTTTTGCCGGGATATGCCACTCCCAAGAGGGCGATAATGGTACAAATGGCGAAGATAATCGCATGGTCCAGATTTCCGCTGCTCAGAGGTAATCTCTAGCACTCTTTTGCATTTCAATGAACTTCCAGCCTCTGGTTTCAGGATTGCTGACCTCCTCAGGTATTCTGGTGACGCCGATCGCATAAGTGACTTGCTGGACTTTGTCCTCCATGCCAGCTGCCAGTTCTCCGCTCTTAGCATTGCGATACACGTGCACTTCCTGCGTTCTGCACATGAGGACGAAGACCGGAATCTCGCCAGGGTCTAAAATCCTCGCGGAAAGTATATCAACACCTCGGATGTCCAAGATTTTGCCATCTGACTTGAGACCGGCTGTCGTATATTGCTGCATCAGAGCATGGTATACCTGAAACTGTGCAGCAGATAGCCACAGCTTCAGTGTTTCTACGTCTCCTTTGACATATGCCTCGAGGACCTCCGGGAGAATGTAGTTGCGCATCTCATTGAGGAAGGGATCGAGTTGGAAGTTAGGATCCATCTCGCGGAATTTCTTAATGACCATGGCAGTCTCGTTCTCCGCGAAGAAACCAGCGATGCGATCCGAAACACTTCGCGCCGTGCTGATCAGCGGATTTTCAGACTCTCGATATACGGATCCAAAGGTGGCGAAGCGCTTCCCAATACCGCTGTTGTCGCGGAAATTCTTCCAAGCCTCTTTCCACGCGGCATCCTTGTGCACAGTCACGTTTGTGCCGGCGTTGGGGTCCTCCTCCATTGGCTCGGCGACCCTGTTGGGATCAAATCCCATCTTGAGGTCCCGTTCCTCGCGACGTCGCCGCCGTTCCTCCTTTTCAACCCAACCACCGTATCGTGATGATGCGCCATCGTCGATTACATCCTTCACATCTTTGAATGTTTTGGTTTCTCGAATCGGTTTCGTTGCCTTATCCACTCCTGAACCCACCGCAGCCGCTCCCTTGCGCACAACCTTCGCTACAGGTGTGTCCCAAGTCCATGCGGCTCCCTTTCCGATTGCACTTGCGGTACCAAACAAAGCCTTCCCGGTCGTGGAAGTAGCAGCCTCAGCGGCTTTGCTATATGCACTCTTCGCTCGTTGAACGTTCGGGTTCTGTGTGAAATCGTGAATGGTTCCTCCAAGCTGCTTGGTGCTCTCATTCCACTCTTTACTAGCTTTGAATTCCTGCTGTAATGTCTCAGTGAAAACTTGCCAAGGGGTCTTGCCGCCATGGGGCGGCGGCGGAGGCGCATCATCCTTCTTTTTCTTGTCCTTCTGCTCGCCCTCAGCTCTTTCCTCGGCATTCTCTTTGTCCTTAGGCTGCTCCTCTTCCTGCTCCGCTGCCTTTTGCCGTGCGGTCCATTCCTTGTCGGCTTGCGCCTTGAACTGTGCAAATGCCTCGTCCGCAGCAGAGAATTCGGGCTCGGCGGCCTTCTTGGTCTCTGGTTGAGGCTCTTGCGCGGGCGCAGAAGCTTTATCCGTCTTCTGATCACTCGCTGCCTTCTGGCCACCCGCTGCCTTCTCCTTCGCCCGCTGCTCTCGCAATTCCTTGAAACTCACGTGTCGCACCGAACTGGCAGGAGATGCCGTAATAGTGGACGGGAGGAAATGCGATCGCAATGCCAAAGGAGGCGATGATAGCGAATGCCCATGTTGTCGGGATCGCAGAGAGGCTTCGCTGTATTGCCTGAAAGTGTCCCCTATCCGTCGATAGGCGGCGGTGCGGCCATGCTGTGATGTGTGTGCAGATGCTGGAAAGCTTCTCGCAACGCCGCCGCCAGCTCGCAGTGACACGGCGCGAAGTGCGGGCGTGCTCATGCTCTGAATCGCCACTTCCGGTCCTGTATTGATGGAAGAAACCTGCCGATGGACAAGTAGGAGCGTGGCGGCGAAGGACGTTGGAAAGTGATCGAGGGAAAGAAGTTGCAGCGACGGCTTCCTCCACTGCAGCTCGGCAGAATTCCGAGAAGGACTCCCGATACTGGCCGCATCTGAGCATCGCAGACCACGCTGCCGGCCGACAAGCATTGACAACGACAGCCATCGACAAACATGGCCGCACTCAAGGCTCCACGAGCATTCAGCTCTTTCATCTGTTCTTCATGTCGCCAGCGCCTGGCGCCGACCATCCCCCATCGCGCCTTCTCCAACACTGCGCGAACTTCTGCAGCATCCGACCCATTCAGTGCTTTCAGCTCCCTTACGCCCAGCAATCCTCGCGCTCGTGGTCGTGCACCGCAAGGGAATACTACTTCCATCGATGACCTTCTCCAGCTTGACTCCGAGACGCTACGAAATTCCACCTTCGCCAACGAAATAGCAGGGGTTCCACGCGACCAGCCCCATAAACTCCACGTCTATGCAACGAAGCACAATACGCACATAACATTTGTGCAGCCTTCGAGGCCAGCCTCGCAAACAGCGTCATCTGGTGTCTCTGGAACATCTGCATCAGCGAAAGATCAGAACAAAATGGTCGACGTGCTTCTCTCGCTAAGTGCCGGTAACATTGGATTCCGAAAAGCTGGAAGAGGCAGCTATGATGCAGCCTACCAACTTGCTGCTTTCACTCTAAAGCAGATGCAAGAGAAGGGCATGCTCCGAGATATGCACAGTCTTCAGGTTATCCTGAGAGGCTTTGGCGCTGGGAGAGAGGCAGTCACAAAGGTCATTTTGGGCAGCGAGGGGAGGATGATCAGGAACCGCATCGTGAGTGTTGTCGATGCCACAAGGTTGAAGCAAGGTGGTCCGCGAAGCAAAAAGCCGAGGAGACTGGGCTAGAGACATCAACGATCAGAAACGAAGTTGAGCCCGATGGCTTCGCCCATCCAGTCTTCCCCGTCTGTATTGCCGCTGTAACAAGCAAAGCCACGGCCACGCGCCAAAAATAAGGGGAGCGCAGCTTAGTCTCCCTGCGGAAGATCATGGATCGCTCAAATACTCGCCCCGACGTCTTCAGCATTACGAAAGGAATAGCGAAATTCAAGTCAGAAAACATGGCTCCGCAACTACTATTGCAAAGAGAGTTTGGCTTAGAGAAACCATAAAAGTTGTGGTTTGGTCAAATCTGCGCGGGCTCGACTCGCTCAATCATCCGCAAGAGCTGGGCTCGGACAAGATATCATGGCATCAATGTCGATATTGCCTGTGTAGATGTTCTGTAGACTTGTTATAGTTACATGTGTATCTCAGGCGTAGGGCGCGAAGATGTAGATCAGCCTGGCTGACAGCGCAATGGAACATAAGCGATACTCAAACGATTCGAAGGCAACAAGGTACGGATGCTGAGTGTAATTTCTCACTATGGCACTGCTGTATTCTGCTGGCCCTGGCTTGCTACTACTGCTGACTTTGCAGCATGTTGGCACACACCAATGCGAGCTTCTGCCCCCGTATCGTATCACTGCGGTGGACGCAACCTCGCAAAAACGCCCTCTGATGCCTTGCGTAGACCTTCGTTAAACCGTGACGTCGTAATCTTGCTCCCTATTGCTGCTTCAGACTCGCCATGATGGCCTTTTCTTTCGCGGCCACCTCGAATGGATCTCCATAGCGATCTGTAGAACTATTGGTTAGCCATGGCATTGACCTTCTCGACTTATTTGCAAACGTACTCTTGATCATGCTGTCCTTGTGCTGCAGACCCTCCCAAGCTCGCGCAAACTCGTCTTGCGCTTTCTTGTTGAGCCAGCCGTATCCGGGTTCGTCCTCAGCCCTGTTGTACGTGTACCCGCTGCTTTCGTGTGTTTTGTACGGGGCGTCCGATCTTGCTTTGCCATTGGCATTGCCCATGGCTTGAAGCTCTACGGTTATCGTCAGTCGCTGTCCACCTCAAACTCCAGCACAAGACTGTGGTAGCACTCGATGAACGCACCTTCCATGTCGTCTGCGCCGTTGCTGATGTTTTGCAAAGGGCGCTTGCCGTTTGAGTTCGCGAGAGATGTGGTGGGCAAGGAGCGTTCGCGGCGCTGCGAGTCGGGCGGCGACAGCACTGTCTCGGCTGGGTTGGCGGTTTGGGTCACCGGGGTTGTGATTTGTTCCAGATCTGATTCTTCAGGTGAAGACACCATTTGACTGTCGTCTCCTCTGCTGGGCATGATTTAACGTTTCCGGAAAGGTTCAATGCGTCAAGCGTTCCAGGAAGCACTGGTGGGATGTGACGCATGTGAAAGTGAGCTTCATGACCGCTTGGCAATAATGGAACTTGCTCGCTGTCGCGGCGAACGTGGCAGAACAAGTTCGTTTTCGGCCATAGCCAGCGACACGATGAACATGCGCTACTGCTGACAACGCCACAATGCATGCCATGTTGTCAGGCGGGCTCATATGCAGTCGCGTGTTATTACGTTAGCTAGCGGAACTGCAACTGCATGTTGCTGATATGTCGGTGCAGCACTCTTCGAATACAACTGTTTTGAACAAATCCCCGCATCAATGCACTCTTGCACATGCTGTTCTCATTCGCAGACACGGCGGCAATAGATGTTGAGGCACAAGTAATACGCGCAACGACGCGTCTCTTCGCGTCATACTGTCATGGACATTGCCCGCTCTCACCCGTGCACTCTACAAAGTACGCGACGAGCATCTCGTGCGAAATGCAACGCATCTTGGTCTTCACGGTAATTTTTCTGGGGAGATTATTCCAGACTTCGGCTAAGTATGGGTGCGAGGTTGTATGGGAGATGTTATGTCCGTATATTATACAGCACATGGCTATCTTCGGCCTTGGCTGTCCTTTCGGCTCAAGCGCTGCTCCGAACTCTACGGCAGAACAAAAACAATGCCTATGCGCGGCACGAGGAATGAGAATGTAGTAGCGATTCCAGTTCGCATTGTGCCCTCCACTCTTGACATTTGCAATGTCTGCACCAACCATCGGCCGGTCGTTCTCGAGAGTGCTTCAATACCAGCAACTACGAACAGCTGGGTTACCACGGCCACTGTTCTACCGCCAATACCATGCGTCAATACGTCGAGATGTGGTCAAGCCGTTCCTGTTAGCAGACATTGGCGAGGGTATCACCGAATGTCAACTCATCCAATGGTTTGTACAGCCTGGTGCCCGCGTAGAACAGTTCGACAAGCTCTGCGAGGTCCAGTCCGACAAGGCGAGCGTCGAGATCACCAGCCCCTTCGATGGAGTCATCAAAAAGCTGCATTACGAGCCGGACGACATGGCAATTACTGGGAAGCCGCTGGTAGATATTGATATCCAGCAGGAACTGAGCGAGGCGGATGAAGCCAAGCTCGGTGACGTTGGCGACAAAGGGGAGCAATCCAGTGCCAACAATGCTCAGGAAGCTGAGCAGGCTACGCAGCAGCAAGAGATTGAAGCCGAAGGTGTAAGTGGAGAAGATGCTGTGGCTGCAGAGAGCCAGGAAACATCAGGGCAGGAAGCACGTCGAGAGAGCAAAGGTACACACGGTTCTCTGGCCACGCCAGCAGTGCGACACCTGATCAAAGAGCACAAGCTAGACATTGAAGATATCGATGGCACAGGAAGAGATGGCAGAGTGCTCAAGGAGGACGTGCAGCGTCACATATCGCAGGGAGACAAGACAGCTTCACAGCCGTCTGCCACAAAAGCCGTGGCAAGCAAAGAGGACCGCAAAGTCCCTCTCACACCTGTCCAAAACCAGATGTACAAGGCCATGACGCGCTCGCTGAACATTCCACACTTCTTGTACAGCACGTCTGCAGACATGACGGCCATAACTTCTCTGCGCAAGAAGCTCAATGCTTCAGCAGAACCCGGTCAGAAGATCACTCACCTCGCATTCATCATGAAGGCGGTCAGCCTGGCGTTCTCCAGGCATCCCATGCTCAATGCTGCACTCAACACCAAGGACCCGAAGAAGCCGGAGCTGACGTACAAGGGCAGCCACAACTTCGGTATTGCGATTGACACGCCCAAAGGTCTCTTGGTGCCGGTCATCAGCAACGTTCAGGACTTGAGTATAGCAGAGATCGCTGCAAAGATGAGGCAGTTGTCCGAGGCTGCACGAAATAATAAGCTTGCACCTGGAGACTTCAGCGGCGCAACGTTTACGGTGTCGAACATCGGTTCTGTCGGGGGAGGTGTTGTTGCGCCAGTGATTTCGGAGCCGCAAGTCGGAATTGTAGGCGTCGGGAGAAGCAAGATTGTGCCCGCATTCAACGAGCATGATGAGCTGATCAAGAAGGAGGAGCTGGTGCTGAGCTGGAGCGCCGACCATCGTGTGGTGGACGGGGCGGAATGTGCGCGGTGTGCTGAGCGAGTGAAGACATTACTCGAAGACCCATCATCGATGTTGGTCGAGCTGCGATAAGTAGTGCTCTCATCAAACGCACCCATTCACCTCCGTTCGCGGCTCATTCTCTGCGAAAAGTTCGGCATCCAACGCCGATGTCAGGATGTGCTCTGAGATGCTGTCTAGCGTGGCCTAGCAGACTCTGCGGACTGGTCAGAGGGCCGGGGTACATGTGCCGAGTGCAAGCGATCCAGGAACGGACACCAAAATGTCGCCCTCAGTCGCTAGAGTGTTGCAGGGCACCGATGCCGGCATCCAAGTCCGAACCCCACATTGTGTCGCGGTGCTGGTCGCAGTGCAGCAAGGTGACGAAAGCCGAAGATAAGCGACTTCGCAAGCTCGAGCTCCAAACACGACTTCTCTATTGAAGCAGCGATTCTACGCTCGATCACGTTGCACTTCTCTTGCACGTTCTCGACTTTCACATTACATCGACATGGCCTCACGAAGTCTGACCGGCAAGTCTATTGCCGCCTCGCTGAGGAGTGCATCGACCACAACAACTGGCTTGCGGGCTGGTCAAACCAGTGGACTCGCAACATTGGCCAATTTCAAGCCTCCCACTATTAACAACGAACCCAATGTTGGTCTTCTTGGTCATCGTCCGGGATCGTTCGTCGAAACTAATGTATGACAGAAACATTACGAGAAGGACTCCGTCGACCGCACAAAGCTCGCAGCTGCCATCCAAGCACTCCGATCACAAGCACCTCTGCAGGTCCCGATCGTAGTTGCCGGCAAGGAGTCGAGAACACAGACGATCTCGGAACAGCCGATCCCATATTCCCACAAGGACTCCATCGCTTCTTTCTCCAACGCTACCGCTCAGGATGCGCAGAACGCCATTGAGTCGGCATTGGCAGCGAAGAGCTCCTGGGAAAGCCTGCCATTTGCGGATAGAGCTGCAATCTTCTTGAAGGCAGCTGATCTAGTGGCTGGCAAATACAGATACGATATCATGGCTGCCACCATTGTTGGGCAAGGGAAGAACGCTTGGCAAGCTGAGATTGATTCTGCCGCAGAATTGGCCGATTTCCTTCGCTTCAACGTCAAATACGCTCAAGAGCTCTACTCACAACAGCCTGAACATAACAGCCCGGGTGTGTGGAACAGGGTAGAGTACAGGCCACTTGAGGGATTCGTGTACGCTGTCACGCCATTCAACTTCACCGCGATTGCTGGCAATCTGCCTGGAGCGCCAGCGCTGATGGGTAACGTCGTGGTCTGGAAACCGTCGCCCGCTGCCATCGCATCAAACTGGCTCGTGTACAACATCCTGATTGAGGCCGGTCTTCCTCGCGATGTCATTCAATTTGTACCAGGAGATGCTGTGGAGATTACTAAGGCTGTTCTTGCCCACAAAGACTTCGCCGCTCTGCACTACACAGGGTCAACATCAGTCTTCCGCTCACTCTACGGGCAGATTGGCCAAGGCACGGCAGAGGGCAGATATAGGGGTTACCCCCGTATTGTTGGCGAGACGGGTGGCAAGAACTTCCACCTGGTGCACAGATCTGCCGATGTCGAGAACGCCGTACTCAACACTGTCCGTGGAGCTTTCGAATATCAAGGACAAAAGTGCTCCGCCACATCGCGCGCTTACTTCCCGAAGAGCTTGTGGGATCAGGCGAAGCCTCTCCTGATCAAGGAGACACAGAAGCTGAAAATCGGTTCGCCCGAAGGTTTCGGCAACTTCATTGGCCCTGTCATCCATCAACAGTCTTTCAACAAGCTATCCAAGGCCATTGACGAGTCCAACAAGGATTCTTCTCTCGAACTTGTTGTGGGCGGCAAGCACGATGGCAGCAAAGGTTTCTTCATCCACCCTACGATCTATGAGGCCAAGACGCCTGACCACAAGAACTTCACCACGGAATTCTTTGGGCCCATCTTGACCGTCTATGTATATGATGATACCACGGACCCTGCCAAAGCATACCAGGACATCTGCAAGACCATCGACACGACTTCCGAATATGGGCTCACTGGTGCTGTCTTCGCGCAAGATCGAGAGGCTCTCGTCTACGCCGAGAATGCTCTGCGAAACGCGGCTGGTAACTTCTACCTCAACTGCAAGTCTACCGGCGCCGTCGTCGGTCAGCAACCATTTGGGGGCGCTCGAGCATCAGGCACGAACGACAAGGCTGGCTCTGCCAACTTGCTCTCACGATTCGTGAGCATGCGTGCTCTCAAGGAAGAGTTCAACGCGATTCCGTCAGTGGAGTACCCTTCAAACATTGTCTAATACTTTGCATACATCGTTGCCCGCGAGTGACAGGGGGCGGCAATTGGACTGGATGGCATCTGACGGGGCGCAACAGCGGGTGAATGACATATGATTTGAAGCGTTCAGCAGGACAAGAAAAGGGAGTGCTGTCCCTTCAGCAATCCGTGTAGCACATGGTGTCGGATTGGCATGGCATGGTGGCCACCTCGCATGAACCGGCTCAAGCCCTAACTGCCGGAACATAGATGTTCCGTTCCGGCAGTGGTATATAGAGCCAGCTCCGAAGCTACCTTCTATAGAAAAAGACATCTTTATTATACCGACTTTAATACTTAATCGAATACCCTCTATAGAGGAGCCT